TATTCATATGCTTGAGGTGCCTAAGGTTCTTCCTAGCAAGGTACTCAACATTCTCCGAGTAGAATTGCTTCTTGATTTCCCTCTTAAAGTCCTCCCAAGTATTCATGGTGCATGTGCCACGTTCAACGTCCATACACCGCCTACACCACCATAACGTCGCAGTGTCTAGGCCGCCATTAAGCTTCTCGAACCTGGATAACTCCTTCTCAAAGAAGTCCAAGCCGCCATTAAGATTCTCGATCTCCTCTTGGGCTTCACCAAGAGTCATCTCCACCTTGGTTAGCCACCGGTCCAGGCTAGCAACCTTGTCCAAGGATGCCTCCTGGTTGGCCGGTTCTTATTACCATGCTTACTCTTGCTTGGCTCCACCTTAGTCACATCAATCCTTGTGGCATCCTCCACTTCAAAGGCAATGTCCTTTCTGTCCTTGGCCATGTGCCTAGTGTTGATGAGGCTCTAATACCACTTGTCACGAACCTAGACTCCTTTAGCGTCTCGTGCAGCACTTGGGAAGCAGTCCGTCACTCCACAAGTCGGCCTTCCCCACTTAGAGCACTCTCCTAGCTCTTGAAACCAAGTAGCTTACCAACCCGTCCCTCACACTAAGGCACACACTTAGGCAACAAAGGCACAATACACACAAGGAAAGACAAATGGAGAACTCAAAGGAACTCCTTGTATTACTCAAGAGAGGAATACAACACTTGATTGCTTGGTTAAAGCAAATGAGGGAGGGGCTCCCCTTTTATAGGCACTTCCATCTCCTTAAAGGATTTCTCTAGAACATGAATGTTCTAGACTTGCTTCTAAACTCCTCCTTCTTCTAGACTTATCTTATTTCCCTTAGGTACATGAATGCTCTATAATAGTTCTAGAAATATGTACAAGTATGTACAAAGTTCAAGGGTGTTCATGAAGCTTCTAGAATGCTTCTGAAATCTCCTTGAACTCTCGTGATGTGTCTTGGGGCTTCTAAAAGCTTCTAGAGTGTTCTTGAAACCTCTTCCATCAGCCCTCTTCACAGTAGAGTCGAGTCACATAGCCCCAATCTTGGGACCTCGTGACAATAAGTTGAGGAAAAATCAATATATTTCATTGCCTTTGTGTAAAACGTCCATACATATGTATAGACTAAACTTGTAATAATCCTAAGAGTCAAACCGTTAGACTCATAATAATCTTAGGAGTCAAAACTGTTAGACACAATAATACTATTAGGACTCAAACTAAGTTGTCATATCCTATATCAATTCAAAGAAGACTCAATAACTCTAATCCCAAGGATTTAAATATCGATACGATACATCCGATACAGGGCGTATCGTATCGGTATCGCCCAGAGGGGATACGAGATACGCTACGACTAAACCCGTATCCCTTGAATCACGCGTATCAAAGCGATACGCATACGTATCGGCTCATATCGTGTTGTATCAATCGATACGCACCGATACGACCAATACGGATTGGTGTGTTTACTGCGCACGCAAAAAATGCGCTTGGCGTGATTCAAACACAAATCACCCAGCGTTAAAGCCTTAACTGCGCGCTTGACCATTAGGCCACTTTTCATCTTATGAAATTTGATGAAATAAAATAACTTTTTTCTATTCTAGCGTCCACATGTAATGCGGAAAAATTACATTTGTGTTTAACAATTCCAACAAAATAAAAAAATAATATTCAAAACTAATATTTTATAAACTAATAGAATAAATAATTTCTTAAGTCCACATTTATATCAAAAATTTGTTTAATCTCAAGAAGTTATACGAAAAAAGATATTAATAATAGAATAATTATTTTAGTACTTAATATTTATAAATTTGAACATGACATGTATCTTAAAATTTT